GTAGAGTCACCTCTTGTGTTGTTGGAAAAGTGTGTTTGTGATGACCAGCTTGTTCTCTTAACAAAACTCTATTAGCCTTTGCCCTGCTTCATGTTGAACTCCAAGGTCAGACTTACCTGTTGTTCCTTTTATCTCTTGACTCCCTACTTTAGCATTCCAACCCCCTATAATGAACATCTTTCTTTGGTGTCAGTTCTAGAAGGTGTTGTAAGTCTTCATAGAATTGGTCAATTTCAGCCTCCTCAGCATCGGTGGTTGGTGCATAAGCTTGGATGAGTGTGATATTGAAAGGTCTTCCTTGGATTCATATTGAAATCATTATATCATTTTTGAGATTGTATCCCAGTACAGCTTTTCCCACTCTTTTGTTGACTATGAGGGCTACTCCATTTCTTCTACGGGACTCTCGCCTACAATAGTAGATATAATTGTCTGAGTTGAATTCACCCATTACCGTCCATTTTAGTTCACATCCAGCTTACCAAGGCTTACATTCCAGGTTCCTATGCAGTTTTTTTTTTTTTTTGCAGCTTCAGACTTTCCTTTCACTTCCACGCACATCCACAGCTGAGCATCCTTTCGGCTTCAGCCCAACCACTTCATTTGCTCTGGAGCTACTTGTACTTGTCCTCCGCTCTTTCTCAGTAGCATGTTGCATGCCTTCTGATCTGAGGGGCTCATCTTGCAGTGTCATATCTTTTAGCCTTTTGTTTCTGTCCATGGAGTTTTCTTGGCAAAGATACTGGAGTGGCTTGCCAGTCCCTGCTCCAAGTGGATCGCATTTAGTCAGAACTCTCCACTATGACCTGTCTGTCTTGGGTGTTCCTGCACAGCATAGCCTATAGCTTCTCTGAATAACTCAAGCCCCTTCACCACGACAAGGCAGCAATCTGTGAAGGGGGTTTAATTAATTCATTTTATTTATTTATTATCACATGATTGATCTACTGTGTTATTTTTACTAGGTTGCATAATCGTTTTGGTAGTGATGAGGAATGCTACCTTCCACCCTCAATAGCTGGAAATCTTGCCTGTTCATCTCTCTGGCTCCTGAAATTTCAGTGGGTGCTGGCTAAACACTTATTAGCACAATTTGTATGTCTATAAGGGATAGAACTATATTCTTTAAACAAGCTAATGAATGATATCTATTATTTCATTTATAATAATAGATTTCTGAGATTCTTGAGGAACCTGTATTCTGCACACAAGTCTGAATTGTGAACGTTTTCTGAGCTCCCATCAAATTGCTGCAGAGAGACACTCCTTACGAGACATTGCTATCTTGTCTGAACAGGAAATGAGGGAAGAGAAGATAATGTGGAGAATCAGCAAGGAAGGAAGCTAACTAGAGAGACACAGATGTGAACTTTATCCTCAAAAAGTATCAGGTGACCTACAAAGAGTAAGAAAGTGGCAATGAAACTCTAATGAGTTCTTTCATGAAGGGAAACCCATCGAGGACCATCAAGCAGGCAATAGATAGGATTAGCAATGAAACAGCTTTCTTTGTTCAAAGGTACCACCTTCTATGTGTAGGAGAGCAACAAAACTGCAGAAAGAAGGGTCGAGGCTCTCTTCAATGAACGGTAAATTTATTCTTTCATACTGTGCCAAAAGAGAGCTCTAATCCTGATGGAATTTTGATGGAGAAATCTACCCTTTTGATTGGTCCAAATGGCTGCCTGCTCTGTATTTTTTTATTAATATGAGCCACCTTTGCACAAGGTGTATGTCATGGATCAGCTTCACAGGCAGAAAGCACTAAAGAGGAGGAACTAACCTGACCAATGTCTGATTGTGCAGATCCCATACGGCGATGTTCCCATCACTGCAGCAGGAGAAGCAGACCTTGGAATCTGGGCTGATCGCTAGAGCATAGCAGGCTGGGGCTGAGGACGTCAGTTCTGCTTTGATACGTGGGGTTGGAGCAGCCAGGTCCCAAATGGATAACGTGCTGGCTTCCCCACCGACAATCAAGGTGCATCCATCCGGGAGCAGTTTACATGACCGAATGTAGTTATCTCTGTTCTATAGAAACACAAACCAGTTCGATAATGGTTATATATGTTCTGCAGTAATGGACAGTGATAGCTTTCATGCTGCACCCAACCTCTACAACACTATAAATTCCAAAGAACACAAGCATCAGCCAATTCTGGACCCTACTTTAAAAAAAAATATTTTCCCTTGAAAATGTGAACCTCAATTCAGTATGATGTAAGACAGCTCTTCCATCTTGTTGCAAATGGAATGTAACCAAAGAACCCAAAGCCAAAATAAGTCTGAGTGTGAGAACAAGATCAAATACATTGTTAAAGGCATCATTTTACAACGCCAGTTAAGCATCACTGCTCATGGAAGTTCTTTTTTGAAGTTTCATTATTATTATTATAATCCCTAGGTTCCCCATCTGAGAATATCTGCTACAGAAAAACTATGAAGGAAAAAAAATTGGGGGGATATGTTCCAAATCTCAGTTATTGTAGGTGTCTAGCCCATAAATGCACCAATTACAAAAATTCTCCCTTTTAATAGCCACAATAGAGCAGTGCTGAGTTTGTTGCACAAAAAGAATAAAACCCAGTCAAGAACAGACCAGGGTCAGTAGAGAAAAAGCCATTATTTTGTGTTCCTGTTTTACATTACCTTTACTATATTGGAGGAAATAATTTTTATGGTAGCAACTACAACTAACACACAATTTTTGTATTGCTTTGAAGAGTTAAATTTAAACACCACAATCATATGTTATCATTTGTTAGTAAAGTTCTACCCAGTCTCCCAGGAAACAAAACTGAAGTGGCTTGGAAATGATTGTCATAAATTTTGCAAAATTAGAAATTGGGAGGGGAGAATAGGTGCATGCATGTGTATTCCTCCATACGCATTTTTGACCAAGCAGTAGTCTTGAAAGGCATCAGAAAAGGTATCAGTCTATCTGTCACTGCCTTGTAAAAATCAAGGAGGCATTTCAGAAATGGTGCACTTTTGGTTGAAACCCCACAGCTTTGAAACATAAGTCTTGAGATGCTGTCTTTCACTTTGAGCAAGCTAGTTAACTACATTCATACCACTGATGAGACTCCTCCTTGACTCTGAAATTGTTTTCTTGAGGTTTTGGACTGGAAGGTTGGTTGGTATGGGCTTAATTCTGATTTTCATTTTGGACTGGCTGAGGATTGTTTTTGTCTTCAAAGCAGTTCATGTCATTAGCTAATTACCTAGCTAAATTCATCTAGGCCTAGGTTTCAATCACAACTTGGGAAATTTACAGTTTGGGATGTCAATACCTAAAATTCCTGTCAGTGGATTCTGGGAGGTCTGATTTTTCTTTTAAAAGGTTAGATTTTTCCAGCTCTGGTTTGAATACTGGATTCCACTGGAATATATCTCTACTAGAAACTAGAAGGATCTTCGGCACTTACCAGACAGTCCAGCTGAGAAACAGGACTCTTGTTGCCAGGCTGGCTGATATCCCAGACCTTGACACAACCTTTCCCACCAGTGTACACATGTCTTGTTGGATTGCTTATGGTAACTGCACACACCACTTCCCCATGATTCAAGGTATTGATCTGGCGAGCGTGCCGAGGTATTCCTGGTCCAATAAGAGCATCTGGAGGGAAAGGAACTGGTTGCATCTGACCATCTGCAGTAACATGAAATGAGTATGCTCTGTGTGGGATGAGAAGGAGGAGGAGGAGGAGGAGGAGGAGGAGGAGGAAATGGGGAAAAACCACAGGTCATATAAGCTGGCCTCCTACACAGGCTAATTGCTAGTGCATGGCTGGCGGGCGACACAGTTAGTTCCCTTAAGACCATCACCAAGCCTACGTGAGGTAGAGACACTTCAGAGATGGAGACATGGGAAATAACCATGAAGACAGAATTCTGTGGTTTGGTTTTGCCCTCTGGATTCACATGAAATAAAATCCCAGGGTGTTTTTAATATACTCAAAACATGTTGAACATAAGTAAACATGGAAATATTTGTCTGAGAAACAGAACAAAGAATATTTCTTTTAATTAAACTGCTTCCACCATTCTTGCCCAGTTGTGGAACTGTATTTCACTGACGTTTACCAGTCTACCAAACAGCATCATTACTGGCATTATCATGGGCCTTAATAATTCCCCTGTTCCTCCTGGGATCTCACTGTGCCATGATTCAATTGCAGCTGCTTGTGTTTGTTTTCGCATAAAGGAAAGTTCATATGACATTCATATGAAGGTAGATACTGTATGTGAAAAATCATCATGCGTCTAGAGGTTTCACTAGCCCCTCAAGGCCTTGGCCATACACTACTGGGATTCATATGTGATGGCAAAGTTTGTTGGGTTTATCCTGAGGCACGGATATGTAACACAGAGAAGGTGGAAGCAAATGCATTCACTCAGTCACAAGCCCTACGGATATCAAATAGGCACCAAAAGTATGAGCAGAGGAATCAAAGAAAGCACTGTTTCCCTCTCTCCATCGAGTTTATATTTTAATTTACTCCTAGTTTCACATTTGCTAGTTTCTCTGTAGTATTTAAAACCAATTATGTGATTTTGTTAATTTGCTCTCCTTAAAGAAATCAAATCAAAACAGAATAACAGCATGAACAACAATAGAAGTCAGTCAGTTAAGTATCTATCATCTCCCACAGAGAAACAAAAATAGTTTTCCTTTCAACATTTATGCCTAAAGACTCTGCAGCCTTTTTTAGCTAACTGGTCAAGTAAAATAAATTGGTCCCACTTAGATAACAAACTCAGTCAACTCCCGACTACCAAATGAAGAACAAGCACGGTGCCTACATTCAATCTTGTCCCATCTTTTTAAAGGCCAGTTTCTCACTATATTCAAAGCAACTTAAACTATGCTTATAAACCAGAATCTGATCCTGATTCCCTGTCCTGCCTGGTAGCAAGAGTTAGGAGGTAAAGATGACACCCTAATGGGATGCAACTTGGTTAAGAAGCCACAATTGCAATACAAAACTGAGACGCACAAGAGAAAGAGGGGAGGAGAAGGACAAGGAAGGGGTACACAGGTACAAAAATAACTCTGACCAAAGCTCTTCTGCCCAAATTAGACCATTGCTATCCATCCTGAAAGATCAACATAGCCACATATCACTTTCACAATACAAATTTCTACAAGCTAGAAAGCTGTAAGATCATACAAATTACTATTCTGTATAGTGACTGATTATTGCACCATAACATGCCGCTACCTGTTCAACCAGACAGGAGTGGGGAATCTCTGGCTCTCCAAATGTTATTGGACTTCAAGTCCCATCAGCTCTACCAATGTTCCCTTTAATTTTCCAGAGCATGAGACATGCGGGGTTCTCGCCATGACTGGAACCAAATGGGCAGCAACACTGGCTTGGCTGTGCACCCCAATACAGTGCTGTGCAGTTGCACAGCTTAGAGGGAATGTTGAGCCCTACCTAATATAGCCATTGGTTAGGGATGAAGGCAAGCTAAGATGGAAATAGCCCTCCGACAGCTGTGGTGATATAGGTTACCCACTTCCAAGCTAAAAAGAAAGGTTACATTTCGGAAGAAATGGTTTTGGAAAGAAAAATAGAATAGTTATTATGTGAAAAAGAACCCCAGAATCTGTTGAAAAATAAAAAAGCAAAACAAAACAAAAAATTGAGCAGCTGAAGTTGAAAAAATATAAAATGTATCCTAGATTTCTTTTTAATTTTTTTTTTAGGTCTAGTTATAATGGTCAGCGTGCAACCAACCCAACTCCCTACATGTTTACTTCAAAATCTTCAAAATGTACTTCAAAATCGTATGGAATTCAATGGGATTTGTCCCAAACTGGATGTGCACAGGATTGCGGTCTAAGCGGTTCACAAAATTAGGGGCTAGATAAAACAGCACACAGTAGTAGTGGGCACATTACAAAACCATGTCTGTGGAAAGAAACTCACTACAGCTTTGGACGATAATGATATACATAAATACTGAAGGCATAATCCCCCCCTGCTTGCAATATTTACACACATCATTAATGCCAACTCTCAGGATTTTAAAGACAGGAAGCCCTGAACAAGGACTAGATTATTTTTAAAGTAGTCATGGGCCTCAGATTCTGTTAGCATATTGTCAGGTGGTGGAGAAGAAACAGGAAACAGGTTGTCCAGAGGGAATCCTCTCAGTTGCAGCAGAATGGAAAACAGGAGCATGCTCCTGAGAGGCTGATTAATTCTTTAAAAACAACAACAACCCCAGTTCTATTCTAATTGTTCTCTGCTTGCATAGAGATGATGTTTCATTGGAAAGACAGAACCAGCCCCATGTGGTTTTTAAAAGCAAAAGTGCATACTACGTATGCACAGCACCCACAAGTTGCTCTGTATATGAAATTAAACAAAAACAAAACCATTAATCAGCTGAGACATGAAGGGAGTTTTAAGAGACAGGAGGAGGAGAAAAGAAAGTAGCTCTCACCCCTACGAAGAAGTGGATATGCAGCTAGGACACCACATCCCATTTAGAAAATAAATTCAATGTGACATCCTGATTTGTGTGGCTGAAAGAAACTAGCTTTCAAATGGAGGCTGAAAACTCTCCTGCTGTCAAGATGAATCTGCCACAGACGGTGCATTATCTGAACTCCTACACCCGAAATTTTCAATAGACTTATCTATTGCAGATAAAGAATATGCCATCAGAAAGTTGCTATGGGTAACTGAAGGCATCCCGCTGCCTTGGGGTGATCAGGCGTAGAGTTGATCTACTTTCAAAGGCAAATAATGAAAGGAGATCAACTCAGCACCTAGGATTTTCAAAGTTTATCTTGTCTGCTTGTATGGTACACACAAGCTAAGATGGAAGCAGCAGCCAGCAAGCCATAAGCATGCATGCACATGTGTGTAAGAAAAATAGTAGCTAGTAATGTGGAAAATATTTTAAGTCTACAAAAAAAAGGACAGGAAAACAACATGAGGTTTTCTAAAACACTGAAGTCCTGCACTCCTGTTTGACACTGGCTCTACTTTCTGGTTTCTGAAGTTTCCAAGCACACAATGTTTTAAAATAAATTAATATTCCAACAACCATTTAGGATAGAACATTGCCACTTGGAAATAATGAACGCTGAACCTTTGATGCCGATCCCAGAATCGGAATCCACATCATGCCTCAATGTGTTTATTTATATTTTATTTATTTATTTGACTTCTATACCGCCCATCTGGCTACAAAGCCACTCTGGGTGTTCTAGACAAAGTGATACGGAAGACACTATCTTCCCTGCAAGTTCTATATAAGAAATACAGAATCCCTTTTTAAAGCCTTCTGTGCTTTATAAATGCCTAAGGAAAAAAAATGCAACTATACTGTGGACATGCAGAATTCATGCCCGGTCAAACTTCAGGCCTCCTAATAGACTGGGCTTTGGTGCCCTCTTAGGTTAGGGAACTTCTCAAGAGTTTTAGAAGCAGAACTGTGCAAACAACGAAAGATATAAAAATATACTTTATCTGCACGGATGTACACAGGTTGCAAGGTTAAATATTCCTTGATGAAGTATCTGAATTACCTTGGCCCAGAATTTGAATTTTGGCAGTCCAGAACGTATGCAAGCCTAAGAATGAAGCAAAGCAGAGCAAACATTTTACCTAGAAGGACTCAGCTGTGCCTGATAAGCCTCATTTTTAAAGAACCTGGAAAGTTAATTTTTTTTTTTAAAAAAAGGATGGATATAAAGGCATGCCGGAATCACTCTGGGGCAAGAGCATTATCTTACCATGGCTCAGTTTGGGAGGGCTTCAGCATGTCTTTGTACCCATACTGCTTTAAAGCTCTGCTCCTGAATAGATCTTGAGCCTTACCACTGCAAAGTTATCTCTAGGTTTGTAACAAAGGAGTTAATGCCCAAATCCATTCAAGTTTTCTGGTCTAAAAATGGCTTGTACTAGTTATACAAACAGGATGAAAGTGCTGCAAACCATAACAATGACAGGTGTAATGTTGTTTTTTTAAACCATCAGTAGAAGACTAAACTTTCCGATAGAACTTAACCTATTGTTCCCCTTGGGACTCTCCATCTGTTGACCTGAGATAAACAAAATGCACTCTGGTTGATTTAGACTTAAATAGGGTATCAGACGCTACTTACGGTTTTCCTCCAGGGATTCCAGCCAAATTCGGAGGGATACCAGGTACTCTCATATGCGGAGGAGGATCAAACCCAACCTGATGACAACCGTAAGACACATCTTAGTCTTTACTGATCAGTTAGGAAAATAATACTCTCCCAAACAGTTCTCTTAACATATGAAACCAGCATTAAAATACAGGCATTTCTATAGGGCAGCGATGGCGAACTTATGGCACACGTTGAGTTCACAAGGAAGCCTACCCCTACACAAAGGAATCTGGCAGACTGGATGTAAAGGGAGTTCAGACACCTGTGTATGTGTTTGTTTGCAATGTGTCATGCCTATCACAGAGCAGGAGATACAAATGGGCCAGCCGTTAGATTGGGGAGAAGAACCCTTTTAATTAAGCAAAACAAAAATATAAGGAGGGGAAAAATTAGTATGCTATAAAATGAATATAACACACACACACTAAACAAATAGGATTCCTCAGGAGAAAAAAAATGGTGCTCTGCAAACTATTGCAACAATTATATTCTTTCAGGCTATCATCTAACGAAGTTGAACACAGAGGCTTTTTTATTTGCAACTAAGAGGAAAGGTAATGGTATCATTCTTCTGCAGTTCTTATCCCAGAAACTGAGCTTGAAAAAGCTACTTTCTCAGACAGCAACGCCCAGAATTCCTCAGAGGCCATGCTAGCTGGGGGATTCTGGGAGCTGTTCTCCAACCAATTAACTTCTCAGCTCCAGCCCTGAGACTGATAAAGCTGAGTGCAGTACACACGCTGTCCTTCATGACCCATAATCCCATCCAGCTCCTGGATGGACACCTACCATTGGGGATCGACCATAGGCAACCACAGCGGCTGCAGCGGCTGCAGCACTCATTTGAGGGGACATGTTGTGTAGGCTGGCATAGGCTGCTCCCGGGCTGGTCAACTCTCCATTCATCCCAGCATGTGGTACCATTCCAAAGGGAGCAGGGTATGGTCCAGGTACAGCAAGAGGTGTTCTCAAACCAGCAGCTGCAGTTTTTTTTTTAAAGAGAAGGACATTATTTAAGCTAAGTGAAAGATTCTTTGCATCTCTCCACACAAAGTACAGATACACTTTTAGCTGGAAGTGCACACTCTGCTCAATTCCCTCTTTCCCCTCCTTTTACAATGCTCTTTAAACAAGTACTGTTATCTCCAGACAACAAAAGGTGGAGGGAGAGGAAGTGAAAGTCTCCCGCCCCCGCACACACGTAGAGGGCACGATTGTGTGGTACAATTCTGAATCCCTTCCCCCCCCCCAAAAAAAATAGTTAGACAGAAAAGACTGCTGCCGAGAGTCCTCCTCATAGTTCTATTTTGATACCTCAATCAGAGGGGATGATGCCAGGCTCTCAAATACTATGCCAATGACAGACAAGCTCTGTCAGCTTCTGCCATGGGCAACGCTTTGCATATTTTTGCTTAACCAAGTTTGCCCTCTGATGAGCAGCCCAGTCAAGTACCGAGAGCTTGGTGCCACCAACAAGACTGGCCACCAGTTGCTTACAGTCACAGGATGAAATAGCTATGGCCCACATCACTGGAGGGATTATATGAACCAATGAAATTACAGAACTTCAAAGTCCTGAAAAGTACCTATGACTGTGTTTAACTATTTCACCTATACAGTTTGCCCAACAAATAAGTAGGTATAAAAATGTTCAAATGTAGTTGGTTACTTTTGTCACTTCTTTGCTGCACTAAGTTCAATTCCAGGTGTGTTCCCCTCCTTCAAAAAAAAAAATCTCTTAAAGTACCCTGTGTCCCTCTACATATTCCATCTTAAGCAGTTATTTCCCTCTTAGTCCAAGATTTATATATCTGATGTCAATGACTGCAGCTAAACCTCAGCAGCCCAAAGTCTCATTCTGCGTTTGTCATGGCACACATTTCAGCAAATATTAGCTGTCTCAATGTAAAATATAGAATAATAAACCCAGAAGGAACTTGCACTCAGAATAATAATGAGACGTTCCAGGGAACTTTTCTACTGGTGATATTATGTGAAAAGGTAACAGATCACACAGATACCAAAAGTATAGGTATACAAGGAGAATGCTAAGAACAGGGGCTCTGAATAGATCAGATCTTCGATATCTACAAGTGCATGATAATCCCACCAAGTATTATGTGAGCAATAATTTATTAAAGAAAAACAAAAGATATTTGTGTTACCAGCTTGGTTAACCAGGGGATCCATTGTCGGAGGTTTGCCAAGGCCTGGACGAAGCCCTGGTGTTGCACTAGTTCCTGGAGTTGGCACATCACTTCGGGGAGTCGGTGTGCTAGATTTCAGAACTGGTGTGCTGGCCTTTTCATGCTAGGATTATTAAACAAACAAGCAAACATACAAACAAAATGAGTATTGCTTTCAATCAAAACTGCATTACACAATGGCTGGAATTCTGTTTTGCAAGGTACGTGGCATAACTTGGACAATGTCATCTGTGACTATTTTAAGGGCATTAAATGCCATTTTGGAGGCATTAAACACTTCCTTGTCCCTCATTCCCAGCCCATGGCAGGTTCTAGGGATACCTATGGGAAGCCTATGAGAGCTGTGGAGCAAGGGAGGGAACTCTTTAATTCTGGAAAATAGCTGCCACCAGTTTGGCAGTGGGACGATAACCAACAGTGGTGATTTTCAGCTACTAAAGAGCCCTGTCCCCTGTTCCGTGGCTCTCAAAGCCTTCCTCGGGTTGAAGAGAATCCCTGGAACCTGGAAGTGGGGAGCAGGAAGGTTATAATGCCCCCCAAAATGGCTGCAGAATAGCCACAATTGATGACATCACACAAATATGCCAGAACTAGAGAAATGGGATTCTAGCCAACATACCCCACAACAGTTTGAATGACAAGCACTTGCTATTTACTCTCTCTGGCCAGTTTCCTAAAATCCAATCAATGTTAAAAACTACTGACCCCCTCCATTTTTGTCAAAAGGGCAAGACATGCAAAATTGCTTGAATAGTAGTCTTTCCTGGCACAAGCTGTTACTGATTAGGTAATTTTTTTTTAACTTCTCTCAGCCATTTTGATCTAAATACAGTCATAGCAACTACTTCAACACAGGCTGTCGTGACAGCAGGGATGAGTGAAGTGTGACTTCCTGGGTATTGAGTCATAGCAACTACTTCAACACAGGCTGTTGTGACAGCAGGGATGAGTGAAGTGTGACTCTCTGGGTATTGTTAAGAGTATAGTTCTCTGTGGCCCCAGGCAGCATAGCCAACACTGTCATAGGTGGCAGTCCTACAACATATGGAATACAGAGGCTTCGTATCTGGAGTATATGAAAAGGCATCTGCCACACAGGATGTGGCATCCTGTCAGTTTAAAGTTATCATGTGGGAACACTGTGAGCACAACCACAGTCCATCTTCTCTGATCTCTATATATGAGATCAACACAGCTATGTGTAACCCATCCCCAGAGGAGAGCATGTTTATGGATTATCTGTTTTATTTGCATGTTGCCTTTCTCCCTCTAGAAGACACAACATGCTCACATGACTGCCATCCCTCCTTCAAGTGGTGCCCCGCATAGCGACGATAATCCATTCCGAAAAAATCGTCGCTATGTGGATTTGTTGCTATGCGGGGCAAAAAAGCCCATAGGAACGCATTAAAACACATTTAATGCGTTCCTATGGGCAAAAAACTCACCGTTATGCGGAAATCCTCCATGCAGCCGCCATTTTCACTGCCCGGTAAGCAAGGAAAGGGTGCAAAAACACAGCGAGCGGCCATTTTCTTTACCCCGCGGCCATTTTGGAACCGCCGATCAGCTGTTTTAAAACGCTTGGCGATCACCGCAAAGCGATGTTTTACCATTAGAAACATCGCAATGTGATCGCTTTTGCGATCGCAAAAAACACATCGCTATGCGGATTCGTCGTTAAACGAATCGCTCGTTATGAGGGGCACGATTGTATCTACACCATGCAGTTAGTCAATGTGATAGTACTTTAGCTGCCAGGGAGCCTTCTTGCAGAATCCTGGGATTCATTTTTTTGTTGAGGTACACAGAGTTCTGTGCTCGTGACCTGTAGAGCTCCCTTCTGAGCTACAGGATAAAATTCTAGGTATCTCACCAGAGTACAAATCCATGAATTCTGCCGCATGGTCCTAGCAGGACATAGCATTGAGCAGTATGTGGCCAGATGTCTGCATGAGCAAAATATGGTACTGTACTGGGCAGGAGATGAGAAAGCAAGTAGACGTGCAAACAATCTGACAATTCATGTCATCCTTCCAAGGCCACCTTGTAGATCTTCTCAACAGGGGAGGGAAGGCAATTCCCATACTCTTAGCTAACTAAGCCTACCTCTGTATGCAACACTCCCACAGATGAAGTCCTGTCGACAGACAGCTAGCAATTTTTGAACTAAACTCTCAGAATTAACAACGATGTAGTCAGTTGACAGCTATCCAGAAGGCAAAATTCCCAATGGACCCAATGCCAAAAATCCATATTTTATTCTGTGTGCTGATTAATGGAAGTGGCAGCAATTCCAAACAAATATAACAGGTTTTGGCTAGAAAGGAAAATCTTCATGTTATGAACGAACAGGAAATCTTCACCGTGGCAAATTATGCTACCAATGTCCTGAAAGGGTTTTCTTAAAACATGAAGTAGTATTAAATAATTCTTCTAATTAGTTGTCAATATGGTGCAAAACAGACAGAAAGGTGAAAGGTGAAAACCCTTACCAAACCTATTTCTTTGGATTTCATAGAAGTAGAACTCCCTGAGGAGGCAGTGGATGCTGGGCTGCTGGAGGCATCTTTCTTCAAAATGCGATTTTTGTCGATGCCATTTTCACGTGGAGAGTGGGCAGGACTTGCTCGTGGGGAGGAAGGATCCTAGGAAAGTGGGGATGGACAAAGTTATGCACTGTGATTAATGTATGTGTGGTACAGTGGAGTAGCTTTAGAAATCAAGCTGCCCACAGGTTAAAGGCAGGAATGTTGTGGCCTAAATCCAACACAGCTAGGTGTACTTAACTCCACTGCAATAACCTCAGTCTAGGCATGCATCAACTCAACAATGCTCTTAGATCTCGTAAACTAGTCTTAAAGGCTAAATTGTGGCTTAGTTACCACTTAGTCCAGAGGATTTTTTTAAAGTTTCCATGGTTTGCATGGTCCACCAGAACCCTTAAAACCAATGAGGGGAAAAAACACATCATAAATTTCAGACTAATTATCCAGAAGTGAAAATCTAGTAATCTGGAGATTCTAAAAACGGAAACTTCTAAAGGGGTTAAAGTAATCACCACCATGATCACCTCAGAACTGCAAAGCTAGAAGAGACCCTATGGTTCTTCACGTCCAGCCCTGTTAAGGAGGCACAGTGGGGAATAGTAACAATGCTATGTGGATTTCCACTCCTCGTGAATTAGGACTTTAAATGGTTCAATAGCATTAATAAATAATAATAATTAAATGCCATCAAGTCAATTCTGGCTTCAGAAAATCCTTTTCCAGAGTTTTCTAGGCGCAGAGTATTCAGAAATGGATTGCCATTCCCATTTTCTGGGCCCACTCTGGGACTGTGCAGGTGGCCAAGGCCACACAGGCTGGTTCTTCTCCTGGGAATTGATCTCTCACCCTCTGAGCAACCCTGCTAACTGCAATCCATAGAAACAAGCACTGTGGTTCAAACTACCCATCAAAGCCTTGCTTTCCTGAAGAACACTTCCAGTATTTCACTCCCCCAATGCACACCTCCAGTCCAACAGTTCACAGGAGGGTAAACTAAACCTTAGAAGGACATGATCCGGATAAGTATTCACCAACTCTGTCACCTCGGAGTAAAGAAAGAGAAAGTCACTTACCTCATTAGACACGTCCACAACTAAGTTGTCGTCGCTTTTGTCTCCATCACTGTCCTAGATTTAAAAACAAGCTTTGTTTCAGACTTCTGTCAGCTAAATTTGCGTTAAATACATTGCATATAAACTTTGCTGGCCATTTCCACCAATGATTCATTTGTTTGCCTTTTGTTGATTAAGAGAATGTCCTGCTCCATTATATTTATACTAGTAATATAAGGGATTTTGCAATTTATCTTGATTTGGGAATGCAGGAAAAGCTGTAATTTTGGCCAAGCATCCTCTGATCTATACGATAACTGTTCATGACGGCAAAATCAGAAATTAGTAAAATAATTAACACAAAATGCACAACATTTTCTACCACTTCTTCCCTGTTTCTTAGATTCTAATGAAATGGCTAAGAAATCAGTGGCCCAGTTCAAAGTCACAGTAAATCAGGATTGTTAAGAATTCTGGCTTATTGTGAATGAGCAAGTGTGCCAGTGAGCCTGTTGCCATGCTTGGCTCCACCTGTAACTAAACAAATCAAAGAGTTTTAGTTAGGGGCTTGCTTATCCTCACATTGAATCTGGGATTTCTGCTTTGTTCCTTCCATATGCAGCCTAGCAGTTCCGCTATTCATACACTGTAAGTACAAATGAATGTTATAATCTTTGACAGATTTACTTACATAGTGACTTGAATCCTTATCATCTACTTTTCTTTTCTTCATGTCACTGGAATAGTCAGGCCCATTTCGACGTTTATCTGTGCTACGCAGGCTGTCAGGGACTAAGAGTGAATTACTCTGCAAATATAGACACAAATGCAAGGTTGTCAAGCTCCACGGCATTTACCTTGAGGATACACAATACTCTCACTGTCACTTCTGGAAGCCATATTGTTGTGGTTGAAAATGTTAAAAATATGTTTGTACACACTACTGATGACATAA